TTGGTTCAAAATTGGGAAAGGAGTACGACAAGGCTGTATATTGTCTCCTTGCTTATTTAACTTATATGCAGAATACATCATGCGAAAAGCAGGACTAGATTAATCCCAAACCAGAATTAAGATTGTCGCAAGAAATAACCTCAGATATGCAGATGATACCACTCTGATGGCAGAATGTGAGGAAGAATTAAAGAACCTCTTAATGAGGGTGAAATGGGAGAGCCCAAATAATGGTCTGAAGCTCAACAACAAGAAAAAATAAGATCATGGCCATTGGTCCCATCACCTCCTGGCAAACAGAATGGGAAGATATGGAGGCAGTGACAGATTTTACTTTCTTGGGCTCCATGATCACAGCAGCCACGAAATTAAAAGATGCCTTCTTCTTGGGAGAAAAGCGATGACAAACCTAGTCAGCATCTTAAAAAACAGAGACCTCACCTTGCTGACAAAGGTCCACATTGTCAAAGCTATGGTTTTTCCAGTAGCAATGTATGGAAGTGACAGCTGGACCATAAAGAAGGCTGACCGCCAAAGAATTGGTGCTTTTGAATTGTGGTGTTGGAGGGAGACTCTTGAGAGTCCCCTGGACTGCAACGAGAACAAATCTATCCATTTTGAAGGAAATCAACCCTGAGTGCTCACTGGGACAGATCCTGAAGCTGAGGCTCCAATACTCTGGCCATCTATGAGAAGACTCCCTTGAAAAGACTCTGATGTGGGGAAAGTGTGAAGGCAAGAGAAGAAGAGGATGACAGAGGACGAGATGGTTGGACAGTGTCACCAAAGCTACCAACATGAATTTGACCCAACTCCTGGAGGCAGTGGAAGACAGGCCTGGCGTGCTCAGGTCCATGGGGTCACAAAGAGTCGGACACGACTTAACGATTAAACAACAGCAACAGATGGGGAAAAAAATTAAAAGTCAAAAGGAAATTTAATCCTAGACAGGGAATGCTGAAAGCTTATTGGGGAATATATTATCTGACATGACAGAACAAAACAAAAAGAAGGAAACAATAAACTGAATACTATACAGAAGAGAAGCAGGGATGACAAGTTCCTTCAAAGAAGAATCTATGGATGAAGAACCTGCAGTTGTAGAAAATGAAATGAAAGCTGCTCTGAACTCAGTTGGAAGAAATGAATTATCAAGAATAGATGGGCTACCAACAGAGCTATTTCAAGTAGCAGAGACTGAATCTAGCAAAGTCCTAATAAGGTCAAGAAATGGAAAACAAACTAATGGCCCACAGACTCAATACACATTCCAATCCCAAAGAACAGAGACATTACAACAACTATAGAACAATCACATTAATTTCCTCTGCAGGAAAAGAGATGCTCAGGATTTTTCAACAAAGGCTCTAAGCATATATGAAGCAAGAAATGCCAGATATTCATACAGAATTCAGAAAAGGAAGATACACCAGAGAACAAAAATTGAATATATATTGCTACTGGAGTGTACCAAAAAAATCTGAAAATTAAAATCAGTATATGCTTTATATATGACAATGAAGCTTTTGACTGTACAGACTATGAAAATACTATGAATTATTTGAAAATTTAGGTGCCCAATACAGGTATTTGATTATCCTGATGTGTAACGAATACACAAGAGGCTACTGTTGAGACAAGACTATGGAGAAACAGAATTGTTTTCAGCTAGCAAAAGTGGCAGACAAAGGTTTATTTGATCTTGTTAGTTTATTCTAAATGCAGAACAAATTACAGAAAAAGTTGGATTTGATTCAGGTGGAGGAGTTAAAATTGATGGGAGAAATTTAAGATTTGCAGATGACACTCACAGAAAATAGTAATGACTTGAAATGATTATCAAGAAGATGAAAGGGGGAAAATGCAGAAGTAAGATAGAGGCGAATATTAAAAAGACAAAAATGATGACCAGGAAAAAATTATGGAACTTTAATGTTGACAATGAAGAAATCAAAACTGTTAAAGATCTTCCGTATCTTCATTCAATTGTCTATGAAACGGTGACAGCAGTGAAAGAATCAGAAAAAGACTGAGACTCAAAAGGGTAGTAGTAAAAGAGAAAGGGGAGCTCCTCAAATTGAAGGATGTTTCACCGGAGACCAAGATAATCCATATTATTGTATGCCCAATTATTATGTATGGATGTGAAAGCTGGAGAACAAAGAAAGCTGACAGAAAACAAATCATTTGAAACGTGCTTTATGGATACCAGCGACTGCCAAAAAGACAAATAAGTTACATTTAATACATTGAATCAAGCAGAACTCTCTCTTGATGCAAAAATGACTATACTGGTGCTATTGTATTTTGGACATACTATGAGAGGATTCACTACATATGACAATAATCCTAGGAAAAGTAGAGAGCAAGAGAAAAGGGGCCCAACATGAGTTGGATTGACTCTGTGAAGGAAGCCACAGTGTTTTGTTTGCAAGTAGAGATGGGGGTATTCATAGACGAATATGAAAGTGGAGATCACGATTGCTGAGCGAAGGCAGCGTGGACCCCGCAACATTAGCACACCAGTGAGTAGACCGTCCGGACACATATGTTGTTTCGACATATACAGCACTCCATAGTGCTAGAACACACTTTGGGAGGTTTACAACATAATTATGCAAGGAACACTTACTACTGGGTTTCAGCATATTTAAGGAGTCAGAACAATTGAGTTGGAAGAGGCCGATAAGGCCATCAAGTCCAAATCCCTGTCCTATCCAGGAATCCAGATCAAAGCAAATCTGACAGATCGTTATCCAATTTTCTCTTGAATGCATCCTAACTTGATTACACAGAAATTGTACTTTCCTTGTCACTTGAAACTTCCACAAATTTCCATTTTCCTGTTTTTTCAATATTTTTGGGGGGAAATTCTACATCTCAAGAGAACTTAAATACATAAAGTCTCAGGAGTCTTTCATTAAAATCTCTATGTTATATAGTTTGAATACGTCATAGACATATTATTTATCATTGTAAAAGAACATATTCCACACTCCATATTTTTTCCCAGTTGGAAAAACAAAACAAAAAAACTTTAGAAAAAAAAACACAGAAAAAAACTGTTTTCTCCCCAGTTTTTCAGGTGTGGTGGTGATTTCGAGGCCTTCCCATTTCTAGTCACCTCTGCTCCTCTTTTTCCAGTGTTCTGCACAAGTCCACATCTCCTATAGCAGGAGGCATCTTACTATAAACGCCAAAGTGCATTTTGTCTGGGTCTTCTTTCAGATTCTTGGATCCCATAGTTTATAATAACCAGAGAGAGAGTATCTAAGTATTACCAGTTTGAGATAGCTGTGGAGACCCAAGGCAAGGAGGGGGGCAGTGAATTATGCAAAATTTAGTTGTTCTTCCTGACCATTGCTGCAATGCCTTCCTAGATCTTTGATTAAAAACATTTGTACATTCTTGCGGAAATTCTTGCTATTACTAAGATGGTATAAATGTCTACACTGCTAGTCATCTTGCACAATCAGAAGTTGTCCCAGTTCTCTGTATGTCCAAACAATACTGATTTTGCTTCAGGAATACTTTAATTAGGCCAGGATTACCTCTTAAATTAACTTCTATCATTGTATTGGCCATGGAAATCAGGCTGTAAGTGGGAAAAAGTGCTTTTGAGTTGCTGAATAAGGTTCCCTGACTGTATTAAAGAAGGTAAGTCAGGAGAATTCATCATTTATTTATTTAAAATATTTTTACCCTTCCTTTTTCCATAAAAGGATCCAAAACAGCTTTCAACAATTAAAAGACTATATTTAAAAGTGAAAAACAGTGAGTATACAAATATTTTTTTAAAAAATTAAAAAATTAAATATTATATTAAAAATGATCTGTGAAATTAATACTAAAAACACATTTAAAAAATATATTAAAAATGATCTCTGAAATTAATACTAAAAACACATTTAAAAAAAACAGTGCAGAAATATCCATTCCAAAAAAAAAAAACAACCAAAAACAAAAACTCTGAGGCTCCCAGTCGCTAAGGAAAAGGTTGCCTGAAAAGAAAGGTCTCTGCCTGCTTGAGGGAGAACAGCAATGATGGGGCCAGCCTGGCATCCTGTGTGAGGGAGTTCCAAAGTCTGGGAGGAGGAACAGAGAAGGCGCTCTTCCAAATGCAACCGCAAAGGTGGTGGGACCGAGAGAAAGGCCTCCCTTGGTGATCTTAATTCCCAGACAGGCTCATAGAGGGAGATGCGGCCCTTGAGGTAGGATAAATCTGTATGGTCCCTAGACAACTCTGCAATACGACAGGTGCAGTCCTCACACTTCCCTTTATTAGCACACCTGATGCTGTTTTTAGGCCAAAGCTGATCTCTCCCTCACACCTCCATCTTAGAAAGAGGGTTCTCTTTTTCCCAATTGGCTGATCATAAGTTTCCCTTTGACCTACTACCTAGGTATCCTTTGGTTAAGAGAAAGGGAGAGGTGAGGCCTTGCGTTTTCATTGGCTGCGACTTCTCCTGACTGTTTTCTGATTGGATGTGAAAGAAACCAGGGGAGCACCACAACGTGGGTGATGTTGTGTTAGGTTCTGCAGCAAAGGAACATGTCTGTCTGAAGAGATTTTTTTCTCCCCTCTTTGGTGCAGGGAGATTACGATTCAACCTGCGCTCCTGTCCCCATGTCAGTCTCATGAGCCTGAGGTAATTGTTTCACTGATGACCTTCCTGGCTTTTGAGGTCGCCGCTTTCTGTTAGGTATAACTAACCCCTTATTAATGTTTTTTAAACACAGACGTTCATGGTGGGTTAGAGAGGGCTCAGGCCTAAACTGACCAAGCCTTGGGCTGTGATGTGCCTAGTCATTTTTGTGGGGAATGCTGTTTGTTATTTTAATGCTTATGTTCAGAGAGTAAATGAAGGCCTTGTCCCATTCTGTCTGTCTTTCTACACTGCTATGGGCTTTTTGGAGCACTCTGCTGAGGGGGCAGTGGTATGTTCTTCTCATGAAAACAGCAGGTACAGCATCTCCTGTAAAGACCATATATTACGTCTCTTCCAGCTCTGCAGTTCTATGATGACAATGATGATGATGTTTTCTGGTATAGAACATTCTGCACTCCTGCTACTTCTATACATAGACCTCTGTGTGCATGTGTGCCGCTTCCACCCATTAAAAAATAGGGGGAAAATAGGCCATTTAAGTAAAAATAAATCATGTCTCTTTGAACAAAAACTTGTCTCAAACAGCGTCTCTTCCAGCTCTGCTGTTCTATGATGACAATGATGATGATGTTTTCTGGTATAGAACATTCTGCACTCCTGCTACTTCTATACATAGACCTCTGTGTGCATGTGTGCCGCTTCCACCCATTAAAAAATAGGGGGAAAATAGGCCATTTAAGTAAAAATAAATCATGTCTCTTTGAACAAAAACTTGTCTCAAACAGAAGGATACAAGAGCCACAGAGGCCTGCCTAAGCACTGAAGGATGCAGGGTACCACATAGGGAAGGGTGTCTTTTTTTTAAAAAAAAAAGCGGTGGCACCATTCACTACCTTCACCACATCCGACAGTAATTTTAAAGCAGACAAAATGTAGCCAGAGTCAAACTGTTTTCCAGGTATATTTTGTAAGTTCGCAAGACTTCTAGAGACCACCTGCCCATGGCAGATGCTTTCCCTTCCCTATGCTGCCTTCCCCATATATATTTTTTCTCTTGGAGGATGTAAAGTGAAAGGAGCTACATGTAAAATAATAAGAAGTATTAGTAAGTATGTCACAGAGCAGCAAATGGTGAGGAAGATACACATACCACCATTTCCTTCTGCTTCCACCCAAACAGGCCTCTGAACATGACTAATAGAAATTGTGAGGGCAGTTAGAGACTTCACTGTTGGGGAAGTTCTTATAAGTGCAAGTCTCTCCTTCTTGTATTGTTGCCAGTTGTACTGGGGTCCGTTTCCTTGAATATGCTTTCTAGACTTTTTAATTACAGGGACGGGTGGTTTGTTTTGTTCTTTGACAATGAAGCACTTTCATTTTCGAGGAGCTACATGTAAAATAATAAGAAGTATTAGTAAGTATGTCACAGAGCAGCAAATGGTGAGGAAGATACACATACCACAATTTCCTTCTGCTTCCACCCAAACAGGCCTCTGAACATGCCTAATAGAAATTGTGAGGGCAGTTAGAGACTTCACTGCTGGGGAAGTTATCAGTGCAAGTCTCTCCTTGTACTGTTGCCAGTTGTACTAGGATCCGTTTCTTTGAATATGCTTTCTAGACTTTTTAATTACAGGGACGGGTGGTTTGTTTTGTTCTTTGACAATGAAGCACTTTCATTTTCGAATATAGGACAGCAGAAAAGGCAGTAGGACTGGAGGATTTTTTAAAAATGAGGATTTCACTTTCGAATATAGGACAGCAGAAAAGGCATTAGGACTGGAGGATTTTTTAAAAATGAGGAAATACATAAAAAATAACTGAAAAGAAATGGGATTTCCTCCACCACCACCACCCAGTTATCCCTTAGCTCTGGCAATTAGTATAAGGTTTGAGGTACACAGAGATGGTTTTTGCACAAGTAAGGAATGGTCAATCCTATCACATTGCAGCAATCACATAGGCCACAATTGCCTCATGTATTTGTATAACCCCAGGCACTCACTAGACCATATTGTTGTGGAAAGAAAATTCACAAAAAACCCAACAACAAAACAACAAGAATTGGTGACCTGGGGAAGCCTCTAGAAGCAGTTATTCTCTTTAACACAAGCATTTCTCCCCCCGTCTCCATTTTGTTCTGTTTTACTATGTGTACAAATGGTCAAAAAAAGACAGGTTCCAGTTATTTCTTGTTTCCTTTTTGAGGTGAATGTGTGGATGGCTGAAACGCTCACCTAAACATAGACATTCCAATATATATCTCATTTGCATGTATTCCAAAAATGTAAGGAACATGGAAAAAACATAAGATAAAAAGAATGCTAATTGGTATTGCCAGTTCATCAGCATTCTATTTCGTGAGATAGTGGAGGACAAAACCTGTAGTTTTTATGATGTCATGGGGTAGTCCTTGTGAAGTCCCCATGTCAGCCAACTGATTGTGGAAACAGGCACCAGAGGAATCCAGATAAATACACAGAATCTATAAAACTCAGGCAACCAGGTCATTACTGACAACCCAGGGCCAAAGGGGGGGGCGGAAGAGGGGAATTATTAGAAGGTGACAACATGCATCTAGCAGTTGTAGAGGCTGCCATATGTAATTGCTGTTTTACATTGTGCCATTCCATCAGGATTCTAGCCTAATTGTTTTGTTTTGCTTTTAACAACATCCAAGATTTAAAAATAATGGATAACTTGTTACAACAAAACCTCCAACAATATTAGTACAGTGGTGCCCCACTTGACGATTACCTCGTTAGACGAGGAAATCGCTTGACGATGGTTTTCGTGACCGCTTTTGCGATTGCAAAACAATGTTTTAATAGGCAAAAATCACGTAACGGCGATCGGTTCCCTGCTTCGGGAACCGATTTTTTGCTTAACGACCATCTTTACAGCTGATCGGCGGGGCTTCAAAATGGCCGCCCGCTGTTTAAAATAGCTCCTCGCTGTGTTTTAGGACAGATTCCTCGTTTTACAGGGTTTTCGCGACCGCTTTTGCGATTGCAAAACGATGTTTTAATAGGCAAAAATCACGTAACGGCGATCGGTTCCCTGCTTCGGGAACCGATTTTTTGCTTAACGACCATCTTTACAGCTGATCGGCGGGGCTTCAAAATGGCCGCCCGCTGTTTAAAATAGCTCCTCGCTGTGTTTTAGGACAGATTCCTCGTTTTACAGGCACCGAAAATGGCCACCCTATGGAGGATCTTCACTGGACGCTGAAGTATTTCACTCATTGGAATGCATTGAACCGGGGTTCAATGCATTTCAATGGGCTTTTTCGTTTCGCTTGATGTGGATTTCGCTTAACAGCGAATTTTAACAGAACAAATTATCCTCGTCAAGCGAGGCACCACTGTAGTTATAGCATTTTCAGAATAATGTAGTTGGGCCATCTTCATCTCCAAAAGTAACACTTATTGTTAACAAGTTACTTCCAAACTCTAGGAGTGACTATAAGAGCCAGATTTTTCTTTTACTGCATAGCATGCTGTTCTGTCTTTTCTTTCTTACTCAGTAATAATCATAAAGGAATTGATTCAGATTGAAACTGACATTGAGGGATAGAGAGAGAAAAGAAGACTATATTTGTAGTAGGTTTTATTTTACCCTTTCCCATCTGACCTTGATCTGGACAAAAGTTTATTTGGGAAGGGGGAGGAAAAGCCACCACTGAAGCAAATGGAACTCCCCCCCTCCCATAAGCAAACTGAAATCAGCACCACAGAAGTGAGCAAGGAGTTAAGTGCTGCTGAAGATACTTTTAAGATTTAAAACCAATCCACACTTCCTCGATTTTGTTTGAAGATTTTGAAATTTGCTGCTGATGGGTATTTTAAATCTTATGTCACTAATTTTGCCTTTAGTTACAATTCTTTACATTTAATTCCATTTTCTTTTTTATTAATCTTATTGTTTCCATATTCGTATTGCAACACCTATGATCTTGAAAGGCAGCAAAGATAACAGTTTAAATAAATAAACTTTTCTTTTCACCTTAGTCTACTGCCTTGATTTTCACCTTTCTACCTAGTAGCCTTCTCACTCAACCCAATAAAGTGAGTTAACTGCTATAAGGAAGCTTATAGAAAATACAAAAACTGAAGGGCTGTTTCAGCAAAGAGAGACAATAATATTTATTTATTTATTTATTTATTGTTTGTTTGTTTGTTTGTTTGTTTATAGCCCACCCATCTAGTCGTACCAACTACTCTGGGCGGGTAACCACATATCAAATCTAAATACAATTTAAAATAATAACAACATATTACTAAAAAACCACAATGATCCAGATGGGAGAAAGCACAAAAAAAAACGAATCAGACAATGGATGGAGGAAAGTCTTGCTTGAACAGCCAAGTTTTCAGTTGGCATTTGAAGATGCCCAGGGAAGGGGCCATGTGAATCTCAGGAGGGAGGCTATTCCAAAGACAAGGAAAATAAAAATAAAGAAATTCCTCTCCTGTGGTAAGAACCACAGGAGAAGAACCACAAATGTGCTGAGTTAACAGGCTGGTTTGGCTCCTCTCCCTCTCATGGTGCCAGCAACAGTCTTTGCATTACAGTATTACTTCCATAAAACACCACCTAGATAAAATTATTATAGTCCTTCAGTGTGCACTAATCAATCAAATAGGTATACTACCACTATGTATCTGTATTTTGTGCACTGTGCCTCCTAAAAATACAGATTTGTCTTGGTTGTCATGTTTTCATCATTATTATACAGTGCTAGCTGTGTACAGTAATCTCTAGAAAAATACAAAAAGCATAGAACTGGTTACTACCAGCAAACAATTTACTAGTGCTTGTAAATAGTACTTTTTTGGACTAGAGCTCCCAGAATTTGCCAGCACTGATCATGGTGGCTGGAAGATTCTGGGAGCTGTAATCCAAAAGAGTCTGTGTTCTGTAAAATACCAGCCTGAAACTAGTCAACACTCGCTATAGGGGCTGCACTCTTCCCCTGCCATTGTTGAAGTTGCAGATGCCACCAAGTTGACAAATTTGGCAGCATCTACAGTCATTCTGTAGTGTAGGAGATTTATGGATGACTCTCATACCCTACAGAGACCTATGAGCATGCAGTGGAAAGCTTCTCACAGGGCTTCCCTGATGGATAGACAATGGGAGGATGCAAACAAGAAGTAATTTTATTAATGAGTATTCAGAAGGAGATTTCAGCACAGATGGGGAGATGAAGTGGCACTTTAAAGAATAGCTCAGTGGGGCAAGAGGGGGCCTGCAGGGCAGTTGCTGTGCCTGTTTTTGAACAGAAAGAAGAACAAGAAAGGATTTCTGCTGTGGTGCCACAACAGTAATGTGATTTTTGCAGTGTACAGTAGTTTTAGTACTGTAGTGGCGGCAGCATGACAATGTGCAGTACCTCAAAATATCTTTTTAGAGGCCACTTGCAGTCCACAGACTGCATGCATATTGCCCAGTTCTGGTGTACAGTGGCACGCTGATCCCAAATGTGTCTAAGTATATAGATATCATTGTGTGTTGGTATAATCTACTCCAGAAACCTAAGTGGATGTTTCTACATATAAAGTTTTCTAGAACAGTGAGTACTTGGAAAAGTTAGGTTAAAAGCTGCAATACCGTTACATCGTATCTACTGCAAAATGTAATAGGAATGTTAGTAGGGAAAAATGTGTACCTTGAAGAGCCATATGCCTATATAGGTACATGACAGTCATGAAATCACTTGCACAAAGAGCATCCTGCTGGAGTGGGAAAATGCTGTGTGATTGCTCTCACGCATGCAGTTTTTTCCAATTGGATTTAAACCATAGAAGGTAGCTTAATGTTCTATCAATTTAGCTAACAATATTTTTTACTCTAACAGGTGACTTCATTTAGAAAAAATGAAACCTAATCAGAGCTGCTGTCAGACACCTCACAGTGTCACTGTTCACATAAAGTCAAATGCCTCGTGTTCTTATCACCAAAAAAAACCTCTTGGCCTTAAACGTCCTAAATTTAAAGATGACCAAAAGGACAATGGAAAAAACATTATTGACAATAATAAACCAAAACGGCCAAAAGGTTCCTCTCTACTTATTCAGCGCCAAGAAATGACAGCTTTCTTCAAACTATTTGGTAGGTGCTTTAATAATCATTTTGAAATATATGTCTGCAATGTACAATGGCGCCTTGACTTACGAACTTAATCCTTATTGGAACAGTGGCCGTAAGTCAAAACGTTCATAAGTCAAAGCACCATTTCCCATGGGAATGCACTGAAAACCGATTAATCTGTTCCGGCTGTTTTTTGTCTTTATGTCAAGGCACGGTTGATAAGTCAAAGCATTAGTTCCCATAGAAACTAATGCAAAGCAAGTTAATCCGTACTCTACCACTAGGAGGACAATATTTTTTTCTTTTTTGTTCTTTTGACCTAAGATGAACTTAGGTCAAAAAAGGGCAGGAAAGGTTTTTTTCGTTCGTAAGTCAAAGCTCCATCCATATCTCAAAGCAATATTTAGCGTCCGGAGCTGTTCGTAACTCAAAACATTCATAGGTCAGGGCGTTCGTAAATCAGGGCACCACTGTATTTGTTGTATTTCACATACACCACTTGTCAAGGTCTAAAATCATTTTTTTGTAATTTGCCTCCACAACACATAGACCTTGAAACTCTGTCTAATACAGTCATATCTAAGGTTCTTGCCAGAACCTTGTTGATTCTTAGGGTATACTTATATACCATAAATATTAAGTTTACAGCATGTAGAATAATATTTTTGATGAACCTGGTAATTTGATTAGAATTGCCTCTATAGTACAATATTCTGTTGGTTATTCCTTATGTAATGGAAAACATTTCTGCTTCAGTTGCCTGAAAGAGAAGGAATAGGGGAATGAGAAACACTTGCCCAGATATAGACACTTCTATTTTGTCTTCACAGCAGTTTTTCCTTTTTTAGATGTTCTTAAAAATAGCTTTCTCTCTGTAGACAGCTAGACTGCTTTCCAGCTTATAAACTGGCTATTTAAAATATTATTAGATTTCCTACAAGAATGTTTTAAACTAATTGTTCCTGAGATGTACACAGAATTGTGACTGGTATGTCATAGCTGCCTTATTTCACAGATGATGATTTAATTCAAGATTTCTTATGGATGGATTGTTGCTGTAAAATTGCAGACAAGGTAAACCCGAATGTTGTTTTGAGGGGAAAATATTAGACGCTTTATGTTTCTACTACACACAGGCCTCCACACAGTGTGTAACTCTCCACACAGTGTATAATACTATTGACTATTTTTATTATACTTTTGTATATTTTTAATATGTGATGGTTTGTGTATCTTGGTTTGATTTAAGTTATCAGGTGTCAATCTTAGATCTGTTTTAGTTTGTGGTGTTACGCATTTTGATTTTTAAAAAATATTTTATTATATATTTGCCTAAGTATGTAAACTGTCCCAAGTAACATTCTCACTAAGTTGGGTGATCTATAAGCTCAATCAATCAAATTCTGAGATCCACCACCTGAAACCTAGACACAAGTGCAGCACTAGAGAATTTTTGAATCTATGAATTTGTCTCAAATAAAACAGTGGAGTTCACAGTTGTTATACATAAAAATCCAGTTCTAGTTACCTCAATGTTAGGCTGCAATTCACACCTGGCAAAAGAACCTTAGTTATACCAATGTATCATTTTTAATATCATTTCATAATTTCCCAAGAACATGGCACAGGGATGACATTTATTCATTTTCCCTCCCAGCAAGGAAATGGATTTCTGGTTTATTCCCCCCTCACTAAGAGAGTTGCTTTAAATTGTACCTATGGGTATAGCTTGTGTACCTGCTCCTATCAATGTATTTCCTTCTCCAGTCCTCCCCCCTTTTTTTAACCTCTGCTCTTACAAACAGCTCGGGGGGCTGGGGGCTGTCACAACTTGATAGTTACTGCACTTGTATCCTTTTTTAAAAATTATCTTTTTGACAGGCATATCAACAAATCAGCAGGTTTCTCTCTCTCTCTCTCTCTCTCTCTCTCTCTCTTTCTTTGAGCATTGTTGGTTTTGCAAGCAGCCTGAAGGGGACAGCTTTCCCCATCCCTTTTTTAAACCCAGCTCTGACTTGTAAAGAAAGGAGGGCAGCATTTCCTTTCTTAAAAAACCCTTTGCTCTTGCAAAGGAGGAGAGAAGGCTTGGATCCCTCTATTGCACAGCAGATCAAATGTTCCTAATTGGGAATCCCTTTCCACCATATTAATGTATCAGAAGGATTTTTTAAAAATTTAAATAAAAGTAACGGCCATTACTACCCCAGGAAACAACAGAGAAAATAAATTGATTCCATGGTGTAGCCAGCAATAATGGGCCAAATAGGAAGAAATTAATGGATATGGCAAAAACCAATTGTTAATGCCTTGAGAGTCAGAAATCATTGTTGTTCAGCAGCCATCAAACAAAAATGTTCTTCCCACATTTAGCTTGTTTTTGTAATTGGTCACTGGAAGGGAATAGATTTAGTCTGCATGTCTGATTGCTCATGTATGTTATCTCTGAAGAATATCATTGTAGGAGGCTAAACAGGTTAATTGCTTTTCCTTTAATGCCTGTGATCTTTTTCTGAATTTTTTCTGTGTGTCCCACTACCAAGAGAGATGACATCAATCAAAAACAAAGGGCAGGAACTTATCTGCAGTAGCACCTTAACTATGGAATTCCAACTACATGGAAGGACCAGTTCCATCTCTTTAGTTTTAGAAGCATTCTTTTAAAAATGTTCTTTGTTGCTTTTATTGGGTCTTAGTTCATGAAGTTCTGCTATCGTGTGGTTATATTTTAATTCAGTTTATATTTGGTTTTATTGTTCACATTAGATTTTAATGTTTCAGTTTGTGTAAAAACATAGGGGTTTGTAAAGGCAAAGGGGCAGATAACAAATCTTCTCATAAGCAAATAAACACCCTCCCCTTGTTCCTTTGCTAAAAAAGACTTTTGCAGAGTTTTTTTTGTCATGCTCTTCATCCTCATTTTTAAAATTTAGGCCCAAACTGTCAAGGCCAGATTCCGTTAAGGGAAAGTATGCATGCTTTTCATGGGTGGTATATATGAAAAAGAAAAGCACACCCTCTGAATTCTATGGTTTTATGTATCAGGACATAATAAAAATCATCTGGTTCTTAGCAGTTCTGAAAATTAGGAAAATACAACCTCAGATGAACAACAACACATGACATATTATACCATTTCATGATTTATTTTACAAAAATAAAGCCAAAATGAGGAAACCATGTGTGAAAAAACTAAGTGCATCTTTACAGCTTTCATAGGTATTAAGAGGCTAAATAGCAGCCAGGTGCTGCTAACCAAATGCCCTTGAGTAAACTGATCATTAGTAAGTATGACCACCTCTATAAAAGCTGAAGTTTTAGCAGTTTTCCGGACTGGAGTGCTTAGGTGTGTGTTAACACAATGCCAAGGAAGAAACACATCAACAATGATCATAGAGAAGCTGTTGTTGTTGGCCATCAATCTGAGAAGATCAATCTGCTTTGGTCAAATCTCACCTGGAGTATTGTGTCCAGTTCTGGGCACCTCAATTCAGAAAGGATGTTGACAACCTGGAAGCAATGTCCTACAAGGAGCAGCTTAGGAAGCTGGAATGTTTAGCCTTACAAAAAGAAGGTTTAAAGGGGACATGATAGCCATGTTTAAATATTTAAAGGATGTCACATTGAAGAAGGGACAGGTTTGTTTTCCAGGTTCCGGAGACTAGGACACGGAGCAATAGTTTCAAACTACAGGAAAAGAGATTCCATCTGAATATTAGGAAGAACGTCTTGACGGTCAGAGCTGTCCGGCAGTGGAATAGGCTGCCACGAAGGGTAGTGGAGTCACCTTCTTTGGAGGTTATTAAGCAGAGGCTAGATGGCTATTCGTTGGGAGTACTTTGATGGATTTTCCTGCATGGCGGGGGGGGGGGTTGAACTGGATGGCCTCCGTGGTCTCTTCCAACCCTATGACTCTAAGATTTAAAGGCCATTTTAAAACCATTTAAGGCCATCATTCCACAGTGAGGAAGATTATTCACAAGTGGAAAACATTCAAGACAAGTTGCCAATCTGCCCAGGAGTGAACATCCAAGCAAATTCACCTCAAAGTCAGCCAGTACAACACTCAGGGAAATTGTAAAAACCCCAACAGTTGCATCTCAGACTCTACATGCCTCAGTTAGCATGTTAAATGTTCAAGTTCATGACAGTACAGTTAGAAAAAGACTGAACAAGTATGGTTTGTTTTTGGAAGAGTTGTCAAGAGAAAGCCTCTTCTCTCTTAAAAAGAATATGGCAGCACAGCTTAGCTTTGCAGAGTTACATCTGGACAAACCACAAGACTTCTGGAACAATGTCCTTTGGACACAGGAGATCAAAGGGGAGATATTTGGCCATAATGCACAGCACTATGTTTGGTGAAAACCAAGTATCGGCATAAACAGCTCATACCAACGGTCAAGCACAGTGGTAGAGCGGTGATTATTTGGGCTTGTTTTGCAACCACAGGACCTGGTCACCTTGCAGTCATTGAGTTGACCATGAACTCCTCTCCCCGACTGAAATGCTGTGGTGGGACCTGTGTTTAAACAAATGCCTGCAACTTCAATGAACTGAAGCAATGTTGTACAGAAGAGTGAGCCAAAATTCCTCCACAACGATGGGAGAGACTAATAAAGTCCTACAGAAAACGATCACTTCAAGTTATTGCTGCTAAAGGTGGTTCTACTAGCTATTAAATCACAAGGTGTACTTAATTTTTTCACACATGGTTTCCCCATTTTGGCTTTATTTTTGTAAAATAAATCATGACACAGTGTCATGTGTTGTTGTTCATCTGAGGTTACATTTACCTAATTTTCAGACCTGCTAAGGACCAGATTATTTTTATTATGTTTTGATACGTAAAACCATAGAATTCAGGAAGGGTGTACCTTCTTTTTCACATGACTGTAGATATAGATATATAGATACAGGTACACATGACAAGTAGGAAAATACTATTTAAAATGACATTTAAATGCATGTGTGTATATACATTTGTCACTAAATGATTGAAAAATATTAATATAAAAGAATATTAATATTCTACCTTATCCAACAGTACCTTTTGGCAATGACTTTCGTTTATTTCAAGAGGGCTGGCTACAGTATAAAGGAACACACTAGACTTAACTTCTTTGTTGCTCTGTAAGTATTCTCTAATTATGAGTACAATTAGAATGTAGGCCAGGATATTCTTGAGTTTTCTATTTGAGAGAACAGTGGTCATGGGGGAAGAAAAACATGCTGCTCATCAAATAAATAAGATGGAGCCATGCAGCCCTGTAAGGAGTAATCAAGAGGTATGAAGCTATCTATAGCTTATTTTATTAGTGTCAGTGAAAGGGCAACTGGCAGTCCCTTTGAATCGATTGAATTTACCTTAAGTGTTGACACACATCAGCAATTCATTCTGTGTGTCTACACTAGTTGGGATTTACAGCTGGATTTGTGCCAGAGTTCTAGTACCAGTCGTGCTGTTCAACCATTTTCAGGAAAGACCATATTGTGAAAAAGACTGGAATCCCAAGGAGCTCTCAACCAGTACCACCAAATTTTGTACTGATTGAGAACTGGATTTCTCTGTTTAATTCTACATCTTTAATTTTAATAAAATAAATTTTATGCATACCCCAATATAAATAATGTACTTCGGAACCGACCTCAATGGCTTTGATGGTGAGTTGTCTCAACTTAGACACAGTGTTTCACCCAAAGTCACAGGTGGGCCTTACTTTGTTGTTTTCTGAAGTCCAAGGTGATGTTCTTCTTTATTTTAAATTGGGCATGGGTGTGGTTAACTAATGCCTACATTTTTTGATTTTTTTCAAGAATTAGGGAGTAAAACTTGTTTTTCCAAAGGCTTAAGCAGTTACAAATAAAAAGCCATAATTAAAGCTATTGTAATTATTTTATTTTCTGTTCATTTTGCACCAGACTTCAGAATATACACAGCTATTTAGGAAAGTGATAGGGGTGAGCCTAAGAAAGAAGAGGACTTGCTGTCAGTGATGGCTGGAATAGTGGGAGACTGTGTATTCTCTACTTTGGCCACTGAGGGCTCATCTAGACAGAACATTTGTTTCTCTATATCTACCTGATGGTGCAGTGATGATATTGATCTCTTCCCACCATCTGGATTTTCATGATTATGTTAGTATTAACTGGACAAAGAGTAGGTTTTAAAAACCACTTTGTGTAGATGATTTTTGTTTGTTTCACTTTGTACTGGACAGAATTTGGCAGCAAGAACTTCTTGGGTCAGAAGCTATTGGTGGTACAAATACATCACCCTCCTTCCTAGGTGACTAGCTTGCTTCTTGTGCGCCATCTTCAAATCTAGTACATTCATTAAAGTAAATGCATGATGCTGCCATCAAACCATATGATATATCTATTATATAAATGTTACTTTGCATGCAGTGACTCTTAATTTTCTGACAAAAATGTGTGAGCAAATCAAGCAAAAGAGAATACCTTAACAAATGAAATGGATGAGCCTTATTGTCTTTTAAGCTACCTCTCCATTTGAACTCCCACTGAACTTTGGGCAGGCAATTGCTGAGTACCCAGGATTCTATCATTTCTTGTATCAATGCAATAAAGTCTATGTGATAGTAAAGCTGATCTGTAGAAATTATGCAAGTAATCATCTATTAACTTGATTGGCACTATTCTGCTGCTGCTAGTCATGAAAAAAGGCAAGAATCCTGTCCTCTGAACAACTACGATCGTGTTCAGTCTCTGGCTTCTTATATTAAACACTGTCCACAAACCTTCAAAACTATAAAGAGCTAGAAACATTATTTCCTTAAAAGTAAAATCTGAGCTTTTCAGGAAACTGAAATTACTAGTTCTACGTTTTGGGCTTTTTCTGCCCCTATACGTAAAGCTAATCCACTGATTTTGGATTAGGCTGATTAAGATAACTGTATCTCAAACAAATCCTGGCTGTGAAAAATGCATTTGGAAGGATTCTTCAAAACTAAATTAATTTGCTCAATTTGGAATGACTTTCTATCAAGACTAGGAAGACTTGATGGTACACATCCGCCTTAAGCCTGTATTTGTAAATTATAGTGTACCTCATTGTAGATACCTGGCAAATACAGTTGAAGAAGACGATGAAGAATCAAAATATGAGATTTTTCCATGGGCATTGGGAAAATCCTGGAGAAAGCTCTTTCCAGATTTCTTAGTTCTAAGGGATGAACTCTGGAGCAAGATGGACTACAGGGCTATTGTAAGCAGACGCTGTTGTGAGGAGGTAAGGAAGATGCATTTCTCACATATTAAGAGCCATAGCATTTTGATAAGCAGCTTGCTCTGAAACAAGGGATCTTTTTGAGACTTAAGAGAAGAAACTGCTTTAAATGTTTACAAAGCCATTATGACAGGCCCAGTCCATTTGCTGAAACATTAACCAGGGGAAATTCATTGAAGGCTTTTGTGTAATTGAACAGTGGCATTAATAGATGCAGGAGAGGGAAGATACTTTTGTTGTAAATGAAAGCCTAATTAGATTATCACAGCAGGAAGAACTAGCTTTCCTCAGGATTCTGGATGGTACCCTAGGAAACAGCAGTGCAATCCTGCTATACCACAAACACTTCATCCTTCTGAACTATTTTATTAGCAATTTCAGAAAACATCCCCAGCTAGCCTTTATGATGCCTATGTAGCATTTGCTGATTCTGATATAATTTCATTTGGAGTTAAGATTCTCTTACACAGGTAATGGCTATTGCCTCAACCCATTACATATGGCAGCGGGAACGTTCGCTCCATCATAGTGGAGCTACAAGAAACAATAGACATGATGAAGTACAGTTACCTCGAGGACCTAATGCCACACCTGAAGACTGTTTGCTTTGTGGGAAAAAAAGAAGGTTTGTCAGCCTGGGATTATCATCTTCCTCCTCCAATGGCACCATGGAAATGACAGAGCAACATATACCACAGGGATTGAGAAACTCTTTCTCAGCTAATAAAATGTCTCTTGAACCACCTCCTCACTGTTGCTGCCAAGGTATGCTATCGTGAGGACTGCAGCAATGATGTCAGTGCTAGACTAACAGGCAAGCCCTATACTGAAATATCCAACAGAACATTTTCTCTAGTTGTTTCTCTCAGTTTCTCCAGGTTTGTCTTTTTTTTTTTTTTACTTAAGGTGACATACCTAAGCTAAGGAATCAAATTCTGTACTACTTCATTGACTTCTTGGTGTCTCCTTAAATTCTGGTATTAGGGATCAGCAGATCTGTCAAATCCACTACTGTTTTGTACATTACACTTAAAACCTGACTTTCCTCCTGGGAGCTCAAGGTCACCTGCATAAACTTGCAAGGAAGGTCAAGCTAAGAGAGTGATAGGCTTGTGGCAGTCTAGTGCTGTGTCTCCAAGGGGAGCAGAACCCACATTTCTCAAATCCTAGCCTAATACTTAGGTCTTGGCCTTTGGAGCAGCAGCAAATGAACTTGTTCCATCTTCCATGTGACAGTACTTTGGGTATCTTATATATCATCTCTGTTTTCCCTTCTCCAAACATAATCCATCTTCGTCAACTATTCCCCATTGAGTAAATCATGTTTGGGTGCATTTTAGAGATATAAACGTTATATACTAAAAGACTGCATCTTCCTCTATGAGCCTGCCCGGGCATTAAGATCATCATGGGAAGCCTTTCTTTCCATCCCACCCACAGGCATGCTTGTTGGGGACATGAGAGAGGGCCTTCTCTGTCACTGTTTCCAGACTCTGGAACTCCCTTCCACGGGAAGCAGGCTGGGCTCATCTTCGCTGTCGTTCCGTAATTAGGCAAAGACCTTTCTCTTCAGGCAGGCTTTTCGTTAGTAACTGGCTGTCTGAGAGAGGGGTTTGAAGGGACTGTTTGCTGCTTTTAAATGTGTTTTAGTATTGATTTTAATTAACATGTTTAATATAATACTTGTTTAATTCATTTTACATATTTGTATACTATTTTTAGCATTGAAATACCATCTTTTTTAATGATGTAAGCTTTGTGTCAGCCTTGGGTCCTTTTAAAGAGAAAGATGGGGTTCAAAATTAATGTTCTTATTTTCTATCCTGCTGCACAGGAGCCTCACTCCTTGAGCATGGGAGTGGGCGGGGCTTCATTTGAAATGGGAAGTAAACAAACCAACTGTGGGTTGCCTGTGCAGTCCCAATGGAGTTCTGGGCGAGTATGCATGCATGCAGCTTAAATAAAAATAATTTTAAATAAATAATAAATTATTTCTTTGCTTTTCAAATGTGCCCATTTTGAACAATTTTATCACAGAATGTAGTGAAAACCTCAAAATGTATACATTTCAAGGCATACATTGTCCCCGTTTCCACAATTGGTCTGGAAGATGAAGATAAGAAAATCCATTAAAAAACAATCCAGGGTGAATTTCTCACATATCCCTACAAATACATGGTTCTGCTGCTAAATAATGTACGGTAACACCTGCTGGATGCAGCTGTAAAACATTGTAAGGAAAAGGAAACAGATCCAGATGTGTCAGTCCTATTTATCATGCAGTAGGACTGAACCTAGTAGGTAGTAATGAAGCAGCATCTGTCTCTCACAGTGAATATAAAAGGACAAGAAGCATTAAAGAAACTATAGGAGATTGTGGGGAAGAACTCCTACAGATGGGCTCTAAGCAAGTGCAAAATTCTACTAGTGAGCACTCATAAAGCTTTTTTTGATGGAGACCAGATGTTTTGCAACTTCAGAGAATACGTCTCTTGCTTCCATAAATGTAACCTGTCCTGAATTTCATAGTAACTATACTGGATTGTTTAGAAGAATATTGTACATTTTCACACACTTTTAATGTAAATCTCTTTCCTGGATTTTTTTTTCATAGATTGCAACAAACTACCCAACAATGGAAAAAAGAATATCTGTACTGGTCATGATGAATCAATGAACTGGTTTACTGGAAACGAAGAATGAAAAAATATTTCAGCCAACAAGTTTATAAATTATAAGGAGATATTATTAGTCATTTGAATGAAACACATAATACCTTTCAAAATATTTGTTGTTGGAGTTCATTTTTTAAAGTTTTATATTTTGTTGAAGCATACAGTATCAAAAAATCTAATCAACATAAATCAAAGTTGTGTTTTCTTAATCTAAATAGGTAGCAATTATTTACAGTTTTTTGTTGAAATGCACTCTTCAAATTAGCATGCACCATTTGGATCAGGTCTTGGATCTGCCGGGTTAAATTTACGCAGCTTGACAAGAAATCCTAGTTTGGGGGAAATTAAAAACAGTCACATTAGTAGTACCATACAGATGCACTTTCATGACATAAGCTTTGATTCATTATATATTTCTCTCTATGAAAAACAACAGCAGTAGGAAAAAAAATAGAAGTAGAAATGAATGTATATCTTAGAATAATTTTGTCAAGCTATTCTTACCTGTGTGACCAATTTGCCATGGGTGAGGTTTAGCAATGTAATGTACCTTTGCACTGTCAGAAATGAAAGATTCTGGAAAATAAAACAAAAGCATATGGTTGTCAAATACTCATTAATTGTTTTAACCAATAATTTTCCTGGGGACCTTCTCAAATCTCATATATTATTTTTCTCCCTGCATCTCTGAGCACTCTTGTCCTTCTCTACATTGTCCTCCTTCAGATGCATGTTTCTGCTATCACCTGTGAAGGATCACAGCAGCAAACACTACGTCTTTACAAATCACTGTGTGGTGAGTACCTTACAAATCCAACAGCCCTGAATTTGTTTAAGCTTTGTGTTTTACACTAAGGTTCACATCTACTTAATGAAACATACGCTCCAATATTCTAATTACTGACACAAAACAGGCTCTCACAACCATCTGTCCATACCATCATCTTGTTCCTCCATAGCAGTCTCATCACTCTCAGAATGGCAAGCTGAACTGTTGTCTGTATTTTGCTGAGATTCTTTTCCTTTGAAAATTCCACCATGTTTCCATGTAGCTGGAAGTATTAACCAATCTCTGTGTGTTGCTTCAAGTACCTTTTCACAAAAAAAGGCTAATTGTTTTGTCCGGATGGCTTCCAGTAGTTCAACAACCTGGGTGACACTTGTAGAAGTATTAAAGTTACATGTATTGGCAGTGAATCTCTACATAAATGTGTAAGAAACAGCGAGCTTTTTAGTTGCCTATGCATAATTAGTCAACAGGTTCAGTTCACTGTATCAGAGAGGCTTCATTCAAAGTAAATGTACACCAGCCTGCAGCCTTAGCTCTTTAGCCAAAATAAAATACTCTATTCAGATTTGACTGCAGCTAGTAGAAAATTTAAGCATTTAAATGTAGTTGACTATAACAGTTCTCTTGATTGAACTACAGAGATTGGCTTGGCTAAATAGCTCACATTCTAAAGCATAATCATTTAACCAACCCACAAAAACAGCATAGGTATCCATCCAAAATTATAGCCATTTGTGTCTCCCCATTCAAGTAAACAAGAATTCCAGATATATCTGGATACTGAAACATGGGCCTGGACTAGATTGGAGTTGCCTGGATCCCTCTCAGTCAGAAAGTGTCACCAGTAGAAATGCCAAATTGGCACTCAGATGACGGGAATCATGCACAGCCCTAGTATAAAGCAAATTTAATGTCATTTATGTAGAAAATGTATTAGGCTGATACAAGTTAAATGAGGTTACAAACAGACGAGTAAGAAGAACTAATACTTACTTTGCAAAGTAAACGGTACAAACACCGCCCTGTTTTAGACTTGGAAAAATTGTAGGCAAGGCTTTCAGGGGGTTGACCATATCTAAAAATACCTACAGAAGAATCATAGGTTTTAACCAAGGTTACAGAAGAACACAAATGAATTTAATATGCACTTGTGTTGGATATACTGATTGCACTATGACTTATGCACACACATCTCTGTGATCAAGCACTTAAAAATTATATTTTCTGGATTATAATGCCGCGAGTCCCTCGGTAGCCGTGCTGATTGAGGAAATCTAGGGACTAATGTCAAAATTAGATTTTTAAAGCTCTGAATGGGGCATACACATGTTTTAGTTGCAATAAGGTCACAAATCATAATATTAAACTGACCAGAAACTCAGCCCTAAGCATTCACATCCAGAGTGCCAGGTAGCCAGTTGCTCATTACAACTGACAAAAACATATCTACTGTATAAATTTTGAGAAAGAGGAAGGAAGGCAGCTGGTTTGTAAATGTTCCAAGTTTCAACACTGAGCTGAGTGAGGAATAAGCTTAAAAAAACAGAAACCATTGTTCCGGTAAAACTGATACACACATATGTTTTAAATGGAACAAACGTTTGTTATAAGTAAGCAATTCTAAGAATCAACATGCTATTAATCTTCCACAATGCACACTAGCCAGGATAGATTACATTTTTGCATGACGTTTAAGCAATCAAAAATTCACAAATTAGTTTAAAATAAAAGGGTGAGCTGTACTGATAAGAAAATGCATTAAAATTACATTTGACAAACACTGAAGTCATCCCACATAGGAATGGGGTTTTCATACTTTTAAGGACTTCCATAAGTCAGTGAGATCTACCAGACCAAATTATGGGAACAAAAAGCCCCCAGACCAGGAGGAGGTAGAGTACTCTCACAGCTCCTTGCTTCTCCAGCACTGCGCCTCTGTTAAGCAGGAAGAAAAGCACCACACTGCAGTGTGAAATTTGCAAGAATTCCTTGTGACTCACAAAGAAGCATGGAAGCCGAGATCTGATGGAGGCTATTTCCAAAAACACTATATGGAGGGACCATTCATTGGAACTTGCCCTTTCATGCATCTTAGTGAGTCACAAGGGATCCTTAAGACTCCCACAACACAGCATGGTGCATCACTTCCCACTTGACAAAGAAGCAGCATGGAAATGGCAAGGGGGCAATTGAGTTGCTCCACCTCCTACTCTGGTTTCACACCCCTAATTTGACCTGGGAGGCTCTCACTACCTTACCGGAGTCCAAGGCATAAAAGCTTGATCCCAAATACCACATTTTTATCAGAATCATTACAAAATCAAACCAGAGAACAATTCATGCTGAAATTTTCAGTATCTTAGCCAAGATTTTACATATATTTCTAATAAGTCTGTATTGTGAGGAGACTGTATACTCTCTGTTGTGTTCACAATTTCAAATAATTATGTGGGATTGAGACCAGAAGCTTTCCTCAGACCAGATAAACTCCCAAATGATAGTGACACGTGGATAGGGATGCTTTGAGTAGTGTATTCGCAAAGGCTTTTACGGCCGGGAACTAATGGTTGTTGTGGGTTTTTCGGGCTCTTTGGCCTAATTCTGAAGGTTGTTCTTCCTAACGTTTTGCCAGTCTCTGTGGCCGGCATCTTCAGAGGACAGCACAGGCTGGCTAACAGACACACACTGCTCTGTTGTGGCACTTTGGTTCTTCCAGAACTTCACTAATCACCATATCCTACTTAATTTATGTTCCAGTTGTTCTGTTTTTACTACTGTTAATGACCTAACTTGTGTCCATACCAATGCTATGAATCATATTTAACTTTAAAGCAGTCTTGAAGACTTGATGAAAACAAATAGAATAGTCTCAAACTGAGAAAGAAAAAAAGAAAGTACAGTGGTGCCTCGCAC